AGCGTCCTTGCTCCTTTGCTCCTAGTAGCGTCCTTGCTCCTAGTAGCAATGCCCTTTGCTCCTAGTAGCGTCCTTGCTCCCAGTAGCGATGCCCTTTGCTCCTAGTAGCGTCCTTGCTCCTAGTAGCCTTTGAATCAGACGAGTGAGGTGATCCTCCATGATGCAACCTGGCCGGATCGTGTGGACCGTGCTCTGAATCTGCCCTCGAGACCATCCTCCTTGCAACAGCTCGTTGACGCCCTTTACGCTCCTCAGCAGGAATTACCAGACCAAAAATTGAGGAATGCAGTGGCGGGTGGCTTAGGAGCAAGGACGCTACTAGGGGCTCCTGGCATCGCTACTAGGAGCAAGCCTTCAAAACCTTTTCATGACCCTTTGCCATGCCTCGCCTTGTTCTTGCCCAAAAGATCTGGATGAGGATACATGCAGCTTCCCTCCAACGCTGCCTGATGTCTTAGAAGATGTGCTGGCGCCGGTTCCATTCCCCCCCAAATAGCCGACCTGATAAACCAAATCCCTTCTATTTTCCCCCGAAAACATCAGCTGATCAACTTAGTGGTCACCTTGGTCTTCTCATGTCGCACAGGAAGGGGTGGGCCAACATATTAGCTTATCGGCCTGAGCCCACAAAAACCGAGTATGTCGGCACGCAGCACATTGACAACATAAAGGGAAGAATGAATAGGAATCTTGGAGGCCATTGCTACTAGGTTGGAGGCCATCTCTAGTAGGTTGGGGGCCACCAGGTTGAAGGCCATTGCTACTAGGTTGGAGGCCATCTCTAGTAGGTTGGGGGCCACCAGGTTGAAGGCCATTGCTACTAGGTTGGAGGCCATCTCTAGTAGGCCACCAGGTTGGAGGCCATTGCCAAGAGGTTGGAGGCCATTGCTACTAGGTTGGAGGCCATTGCTACTAGGTTGGAGGCCATCTCTAGTAGGTTGGAGGCCATGGCTACCAGGTTGGAGGCCATTGCTACTAGGTACTAGCGTTAAGTCGACTCAGCTTGTGTAAAGTCGACTCGAAACAGTGTGCCCTTGAAGAACTGCACTCCACAGGGATGTCTAAGCATAGATTGTGTTGATCTAGAACATATGTTTTGTGCTGTGCCCATGGTGTGCCTGATTGTCACTTGTTTGTTTGGGGGAGGGCAGCTTCCACAGGGGTGAAGGGTCAAGGACTTGTGACAGTTTTGATGCAGAGCTCCTTGGGCCCATGCTCCACTGCTGCTGCTGCTGCTCCTGCTGCTTCTGTTTTGGTTGACCGTAGGCTGTAGGACGACTGTAGGAGTCGTGCTCTCGCGAACCTCGCGCAGGGTTGCGCGGGGCTCGCGCAGAGGCCTATAGTCACTTGTGTGTGTGCATGCAACCTATTCTCTACAGTAAGTTGCGCATTGGTGTGAATGGTGCTGTGCCATTGAAATTTTATCCTTGAAACATCTAGAAGGCAAGGCCAAGTGCCAGCCATACCACAGTGTGCGCACACACTTTTCCTTGAACATACCACTTTCCTGCCGTGCTCATTTTTCAACTGTGCCCATTGTGCTTTGACCAAAGTGAGTCGACTTCACGCGAGTGGGCTGACTTCTCGCTGAATCCTTGTGCCCATGCAGTGAGTTAACTTCACGCGACGTGGGTTGACTTAAGCACGCCGCTTGTACTAGGTTGGAGGCCATTGCTACTAGGTTGGAGGCCATCTCTTGTAGGTTGGAGGCCATTGCTACTAGGTTAGGTTGGAGACCATTGCTACTGGGTTGGAGGCCATCTCTAGTTGGAGGCCATTGCTACTGGGTTGGAGGCCATTGCTGCTAGGTTGGAGGCCATCTCTTGTAGGTTGGAGGCCGTTGCTAGTAGTCTAAGGAAAGAAGGTAAAAGAAAACTGGAAAAACACAAACACATCATTGGTCACACTAACTGAAAACGATGGGACTGCGCAGTGGTGTGATGTGACAGGAAAGGCCAAGGACAAACACATGCGGATGAGCAACCCAAAGGGCCCTATCTTTGCCACATTGGGGTAGGGGCTTGTGGTAGCCAAAAACAGTTTCACCCAAGATTGAAGAACACATTTAAAGAACAGCACAAAGAAGGAAGGGAGGAATGGACACGGGCTACAAAGAACATTATGAAGAAAAAAGACGATGTTCACGCGAAGCGGAGATGTTTTTGTCGGGAATGCGATTCCGGACAAAGGATCTCCACACCAACATTTGTTACTAGTAGTAAGAATGCTCCTAATTAGTAGCGTTGCTTGTTTTAGTTTCCTTGTCCTTTTCTGTCCTTGGGAACCGTTTAGATCTCGTGCCGCACAGTATGCCCTCCGGCTCCCTCCGCTTGAGCCACTTGAGTCTCCTTTAAGAGAGACTTCGATGCAGATTGACGATCTAAGGAGGTCGTGGCACCTGCAGAGCACAGCAAGCTGGGCAAAATAGTAGACAAGGACTTCACTCCTGACACGCAGAAATACAGTCTTACCCAAGAATTATATAACTTAACTACTTTGTCCTTAAAAGCGTCTCACCTTGTCTTCAAACCTGATGCGGCCGACTTTAACTGTCATGCCTCGTCGGCAGTCGGCAAAGCGGTTGATCGTACCAAGCAAAGCGGACCTGGATGGACTTCCATTGTTTACTCCGCAGGAGGACAGCTTCCTGTCAGGCGTGGTTCGTGGTATGGGTTCGCACCTAAGCCACGAGCGTGCAAAAGAACTTGGGATGCTGGAAGTGCCGAATATGGCCACAGCTCCTCGACAGCACAGGGCGCAAACATGCACAAGGTCTTCAAAAGAACAGAAGAAAGCAAACAGTCACTAAGCGTTGATCACCAAACAAGGCCTTTTCAGTTAGAACTTGTCAGTCCTAAGATCAGGTGGTGCGAGAATTCCTGGAGGATTTCGGCGAGAAGACCGTCGTTTCAAACAAGCGCCAGCGCGTAGCATGAGACAAAAAGGGCTATGCTCAACCGATCTCAACCTCTTTTGCAGAACGTGTAGTGTGAACTGTGAGTTTTTCATAGATTGAAGATTGGAGGCCATCGCTATAGGGTTGGAGGCCATTGCTAGGTTGACTCAAAGATAGATTGAAGATTGCAAGCCGATACACGACACTTCTTGTCAAGCCGATACTCGACACAGCGATGCTGCTCCAAGGCTGCGGCCGTGAGCAATCTTTGGATATGTGCGCCGACCTCACAAGCGACGATGTTTTTCCTTTTTTCCGTGTGAGTGAACAACTGCATAGAAAGAGCGGTTAAGCTGCAATGGCTTGTCGCCACAGACAGCGTAGTTGCTCTGACGTTCCATCCTGAAAAGATGCCTCCAAATCCTTGAATCAGTTCGTCAGGCCAATTCAAGTGCTTGCCGAGTCTTACTGCCCCCATTCAGTTTGGCCAAGGCTAAGATGTGTTTGGTGCTTGGTCTCCATGTTCGCAACGGAATTCTGGCGAGGACAGCAAGACCTGTGCCAGCAAGATCAAGTTTGATTCACCACATGTGCTTCGTGAGTCTGCCAGGACCCCACTTTGGGATTTGCAAGTTTTGGGATGAGAAGTGACAGCTTCGATGAGAAGCAGAATTGGAAGCTTCGAGCCCCATTTGTCATGAGCCAAAGCAAGATTGATGCATCTGCATGGAGCCAATTTGGAGACGAACACCTGAAGCGTGGGCACAGTTTGTCCAATCTAGAACCTAAACCGGTGTTTTCACGCATGGCCTGTCACATAGCTGACTCGACTTGTTGGGAGTCGGAGATTCCATTGATCCGAGGGTTTCTCACGGTAAAAAGGCGCACCTTCAGACCTGTGCTTGAGTGATGTGGAGCTTACTTGGGTTGGGCAGTCGATTCGATCCATCGATTGGCCGCAAACAATTCGTCGACCTCCAAACTAGTCAGATGATTGAATTTCCTAGGTGGTCCACTGCCCACTGCTTTGGACAGCTTCAAGCAACGTTTGCGGAGTAATTTTTCAGCGGCAGACGTGAGACCAAACAGCAGCCATTTGGTGCTTTGGCGATAGATGGGGCCTTAGGTGAACCACCGAGCAGCGTAGCGAGAGCAAGATGGAGCAGGACCAAAAGGGCCAAGGGTTACATACACAGCAAAACCCTACCACTACTAGGAGCGATCGGACGCTACTAATTAGGGGCTCCTGGCCGTGAACGGAGCGATCGGGATTAGTCCGATTTGCCGTCAAGACCGTTCCCTGAGACCCGACCTGTGTGAGGAAGTCCTGGAGAAGATCCTGGATGATGCATGGAGTAGTTTCAAACTGCACCTGCTCCAGCTTCTTGGATAACTGTAATATGGATAACTGTAATATGTTTACTCTTGAAAAAAAACACATCAAGTTCAGGGATGTTCTGTGTGTAAATAGAAAGCATTTCTGTTTGAAGTGATTGAACAAAGGACGTAGGGAGCACTAGCAAGCACTTACATGCGAGTAAGCACTCGTCAGAAGAGGAAAAACAAGGAAGAAGTCTACTAGGCTGGAGGCCATCCCTATTGGGGTAAAGGCCATCGCTTCTAGAGTAGACATTAAGGAGAAGTCTCAAGTTTTTGTCTACTAGGTTGGAGGCCATCGCTATTAGGTTGGAGGCCATCGCTTTTTGGTTGGAGGCCATCGCTTCTAGAGTAAAAACCAGGAGAAGTCTCAAATCTTTGTCTATTCCCTTGGAGTGATCAATTGTCGCGACACACGCCAAAGTGGGCCGCCAGCATTAGGTCCATCGCTGTCTCCCACTCGATGCAGACTCCGCCCATGAAGGACCTGAAAGCAAACTCAACATTTCAATCCTCATGGAGTTATTGAAGTTTTTGGAGTCTTTGCGAACATATGAACGATGTAGCTTCTTTGTAACTAGTAGCTTCTTGTTCCTAGTACGGCCAGGAGCCCCTAGTAGTGTCCTTGCTCACATGCTCCTGTTTTTTTTGATATTGCGTTTCCAAATTGGTCCAGATCTCCGCTTTGTGAGGGGCCTACTGGTCGGACGTACTCAATCTCCGAGTGTGGAACTGGCGAATGTATGAGCCGTGAATGGAGCCGTGGAGTGGCCAAGCTGAAATGCGTGGGAGAAACATTTTGAAGGCATCCCAGCCTTTTGAGATGAAAGGAGAGAAACGGGGAAAGGAAAGACACGGTGACACAGATTCTAAAGGTCACTAAAAGCAAGAAAGAAAGAACGAAAGCCGAAAGAGCGTGGACCAAAGGAACAACTGAAATGTAGAGAAGAACCAAAGTTCTTGCAGTGCAGGGAACAATTTGGGGCTAGTACTTGGAGCCCTGAGGCCTCAAAGTAGCGTCGTTCCGACAATTCCTGTAGGCCTTAGATGTCAGGTGTCCATTCGCCGCCAGGCAGTGTCGCACTTGTTACTAGAAGCGATGCACTTGTTTCTAATAGCTTCTTGTTACTACTAGTAAGGCACTTGTTACTAGTTACTAGAAGCGATGCACTTATCCGCTGAAAGTCCACTGATTGCTAGGTTTTATCTAGTAGTAACAAGTGCCACGCTAGTAGTAACAGGTGCCTTACTAGTAGTAACAAGAAGCTATTAATTTAATTCTAATAGCTTTTGTTACTACCAGTAAGGCACTACGACTACAGGGTCTTAACCCCGACTACTCTGTGCTTGGTTCACTGCTGCCACTCGCTGGGTGCATTTTCCGCTGTCTGGCTCCTACCTCTCTTGTCTGCACCTCCATCTCCTCCAAGGCAGGGCCTTTTTCAATTCCACTCAAAGGGACACAGAGCTTCAGTGGCAGAAATCTCTTCAAAACTTGCTCACTCACCGCAGCAGTCACCAGAAGGGGCTTGAGCCTTTGCACACTAACCTTGAGTTCCTGTGTTCGCAGACAGATGACATCCAGACAAGAATATTTCGGCGGATCGCGATGCGGAAGTAGATTTGCCTCGAGCTGATGTGCTCTCGCGCAACTTCTTGCAGACATGTGAGGCAATACGGAGATCTTGGCCCATTGGTCACAGCCAAAGTTGTCAGGCAATGTCTTGCGGAATTTAGGAGCAAGGACGCTACTAGGGGCTCCTGGCCTTACTAGGAGCAAGAAGCTACTAGTTACAAAGGGCATCGCTACGCACCGGAGCAAGGACGCAAGTTGCCGTTGCAATGAACATGTGGAAGCGCTTCGAAGCGAACTCGCGGCGGGTCTGGGGAACGGTACAATTCGAAGTAGCGAGCGCAAAGCTCCAAAGCCTCGGGCAGCGAAGAAACGATTGGCGGGCAGCCTCGGAGTCAGTTCGTTGAGGAAATTCCAAGCGATTTGTGTGTCCCTGTCGGCCGTTCTCGGCTTTCTTCGCTTTCGGGGGTTTGCTGAAAAAATGCGTCGGTGAGTAAGGCAATCGTGGATCCGTGGACCGTGCCAACATTGGCTTCATTTAAATTAATAGTTTCTTGTTACTAGTAAGGCACCTACTACTAGTAAGGCACTTGTTACTAGTAGCGTGGCACTTGTTACTAGTAGCTTCATGGACGTGAAACTGTTTGTCTTCGCATTAGCCCCTAGTAGCGTCCTTGTTCCTAGTTAAAGGCCTTTCCAGACGCATAAAAGCTGCATCGGCCAAGCTTCTGCCGAACAAGGGTTGGAAGACGACGACGGTGTGCCACTTCCCGGCCAGTTGACCAACAAAGCTCGCAGGCGTGCAGTGTGGAACAAGTTTGGGAAGAAGTCGCCGCAGAAGGTTTTTGCTAAACAACCCTTTGCGTGGCTTATTACTTCGAGACTTGTTTGTGAAGGAATACGGGATTGGCGCCTCAAGCTTGTCCTGCTTGCAGTTCGCTGTCAAGACTGCTATGGTCCAGCTGTTCCATGATGCCAATTCTGTAGCCAGCACTGTGACCGGAAACCTTGTGGCCAAAGGATTTTCAGAACTCAGACCAATGACCTCGTGTTGTGTGGCTGGAGCCCTTCCGGCCTCAGCGAATCACAGAGTGCAGTGATGGCCGAGGCCCAGGTAATATCCTCAAAAAGTTCCCTGAAAGGCAATACCATGACCACTTGTGATGGTTGTTCTGGTGTGAAAGGCGACCGCTTTTCCAAATGTTTGTCTCCCGCAGCGAAAACCACGTCCCTTTTTGCCATCGGATGGCAGTGAGATCTCGGAAAAGGTCCGGGTTGTGCACAAAACGCAGACAGACGCAGCTAAGACACCCCCGGGTAGCAGACAAGGCTTCCGCAAAAACACGGTCAAGCGCTGTCGAACTGCACGTTTCTTTTGGTTTCAATTTGTTGTTTCAAGAGTTTACACTCATTTTGATAAGCTCTAGACTCTATTTGCTTTAGAACAGGGGAATGCTGGTAGTAGAAAACAAGTAGCTGGTAATAAGGTAAGCTTAAGTAGTCACTACTAGTAAGTAGCGGATGCAGGGGCACAAGAAAACTTAGGTTTCTTTCAGGAACTTCTTGAAGTGATTGACTTGGTTCCTAGTCTGTTTAGAGAACTGCTTTCTTCTGCATGTTTTTTGAAACCTTTTGACTGCTTTCTTAAGGTTTCACCCGATATGTACATGATCGAGGGCAACGATTCCATACATCCGTTGGATGGGACAGACAGCAAAGATGCACCGGAGATGCTAAGACGCATCACATCCTTCTCACAGGGCACAGGCGCATTGGTGCCCACAGGGCAAGATAGAAGTCTCCAACACTTCGTTTTTGAAACAGACATGGTTTTGATCATTCAAGCACAACGATGGACACGAGGAAGATCTCAGTTGTTCCATTTTGCGTCAGCTTGCAGGGAGTGCCCAGTTGGAGAAGGTTGCATACTTGAGAACCAGAATTGGAGAAGGAGGTGCGTTTGCAGTTGGGGAAGATGAGAAAAGGGTTGAATATTGTTGCAGGCTTTAGCTGTGTTTGTATGCTTGACCCGGGACTGCTCGTGACATAAAACCAGGCAGCAAATTTATGTCTGACGACGACCAGGCGAAAAAAAATAATGACATGATCCATTTGTATTCTGAGAACAAAAACCCGCCCCGACCTTCGTTCGTAGCGTCGGAGTGATCGGCGTCCAACAGACCTCCCCGTAGCTCCGCAAAGACGGTTTGTTAGAAACGAAGCGAACAAACCTGGAGTGATGCTTGGATTGGCCACACGTGGCAAACTCTCAGATGGTGCAACACCCTTTTGCAATCCTCAGCTTGAAACGTGGTCCATGTTCCCTGATGATGTGCCCCTGTGTTGTGCAACCTACATCCTACCCACCTCAGTGCGCTGGATGTTTATGTGGCTCAAAGCAAACGTACATGATTCTTTTTTTCAAAACCAAGATTTTTGTGCTGGAAACGAAAGATTTTCGTTGTTTCTGCCTACGCTCACCCTGAGGCAAAGAACATTCACGGGCAATTCGGCGCAGGTTGCGCTTGAGGTTGGGCACTATCTCCACCACAAAGTGTGTCTCTGGGACCCTAGGCTTTCGCTTTGGTTTGGTTGCAATTTCTACTTTAAACTTTCACTTCTTCTTGTCACTCATGTCACGTGTTCTTCTTTTGCATTCGTCTTCTTTCTAGAACCTTTACGTCTCGCATGAATATGCCTTTATTTATCTCAGGACGTCATTGCATCAAGCTGTGCTAGCTCTGGGATTGACACGCTATAAGTTGGAGGAGACACCATAGCACGAAACAAACAAGAAAAAACAGACTCTCAGAGTGTCTCAAACTGCATGCCGTGTGTTCATGCACAAGACTTTTGCATCACCAAAAGGTGTGCATTCTAATGTGCTTTCTCGTAGCCTTCTTTTCATTTGCAGCTTGCAACCCACGGAGGTGTTGTACCATTGACCCAAGTCCATAATAAGCTTCTAAAGGGATTGCAGATGATTTGCGTCTGAAATCAGTGGGAGGAAGTAAACACGATTGTCAATGACTTGGCATCCTTTATCCATTTAGCCTTTGAGAAGGAAGATTGCCGCTCAGCTTGGACTTTGCTCCGTTTTTTGGACAGGGGAATTGCACGCGTTGATTTTCCACTTAGGATTATCTCCCCATTGCAAAAGCAATTCACATCCTTATTTTGGCCACACAAATCCCGAAAAGGACCCAAAGGCCCTGTCGATACGAGCCCCCTGCCTATCCCTGCCTTCTTTTCTCGAAGGTGAGCCAACTTGGCACTGGCCCAAGCAACTTGGTGTGGTTTTAGAATGTAGAGTTGATCTTAGGGTTTTCTGTCCAGGACTGAACGCTCTTTCCACAATTCAAGGTGTTTTGATTGAGTGCACTACATTTCACTGTAGTGCGCTACGTTTCAAGGCCGTTTGCTTCTCTTTGACAGACTTTGGGAAAACTTCAAGAACCAAGGCTGAAGGACCAGCATTTGTCTTTGTCCTCTGCCAGTTGGGAGAACTTGCGTAGCAGCAACCACAGTGTTGTACCAGTCAAAGCGCTGATGGAAATATTGCTCGCTCAAGATGGTGAGGTGCACAAGAGGACCGGGCTCTTCTCAGTTTAAACGGCTTTAATCGGGAGCTGTTCTTCAATTGTTTCAGGATTCTCTAGATCTAGAGTGCCAATTCCTGTCCAAGTGGTTCCGTTCGACTTTGTGCAAGTAGCACGCTTGTGTTGGGAACTTGAGACCTGAATTCCATCGAATCTCTTGGATTCCTTGAGGAAATGACATGTATGTGTTTTTCGACGGCAGTGAGACTAGTGCTTCTTTTGGAACAGTTTGGAAAGAAGCATATTCCAAACGCTACCGTTTTCCCTCCAGGATTTTTGGTCCGTCATTGCCCGCATTTCAAGCCATCCGTGAAGTCTTGCTTGCAGGTGATACAAATCGTATCTCGATAGCAAGACAATTTGTGTAATTTGGCGACTCAAAAGTCGGGCCACCTCCCAAACCCTTGGATAAAAGGCAAAAAGCAGTGGATCAATTGGATATTTGTGTTTGAACAGTAGCCATCTTGAGGATTCATTATGAATCAATACGTATGCATGAACCCAGTGAGTGTCCAAGACCAAAGACTGGTCAGACAATGAACACCTTGGAGACACTCCAGGTTTCAAGAGACAGGAGATGTTTCGGAGCCTAACAAGTGTCCGCAGTGTCCGCTGCGTGTCCGCTGCGTGTCCGCCTGTTTCAGGCCTCGTTGCGGAATTGACCTTCGTCAGGCTGAACGATTTGGCAGCTCCTCCAGAACCAGTGCAGCTTGGCCTCCAACCGGTTGTGCGTGCCTAGCGTGCCGTTGTGCACCTCCTTTGTTTCACCAGCGGTTTTGTTCGTTCATTCTCACCGTTAGAACATATTTCTCCATCTCCGGACACATGCACGCGTCGCAAGTTGGTACTAGTCGTACCACTACAAAATTGCTGTTGTTGACACGACATGCAAAAACATGAGCGCTTCTTGTTACTAGTTCTACTACTAGAAAAAGCTCCTAGTAGCTTTCTTTACTAATTCAAATTCAATTCTAATTAAATGTTAATTACTATTTGCTTATTGTTTCTAATGGCAAACATTGTTCCTAGTAGTAGGGCCAGGAGCCCCTAGTAGCGTGGCCCTTTGCTCCTAGTAGCGATGCCCTTTGTTCCTAGTAGCGTCCTCTTGTGCACGAAAGCGTGGATCTGAGGCCACCGATGCTGTTCATCGAGATGATTGTGGCCTGCGTGGTGATCTCCAACGCCATCATGTGGCTTCACTGTGAACACCTGGACTGCTAGACCACCAAAAGGTTTCTGCGACATTTAACCATTGTTGTCATTTCAGCCTGAAACCAACAACATGCTTCGTAGGATGTTTGCAGCTCCAGCTTGAACCTAGGATGGGTTTGCAAATGGACCCAGAATATCATCACTGGGAGGGCTGGTTTTGGATGGAGTTGTGCTTTACTTCATTGCTGCTGCTGGAAGTTTGCATCCGTCTGCGGATTTTGGGTTGCCAAAATTTCTTCTGCGGCTTACAGGCTCGGGATTTGTTCGCGACTAGGAGCAAAGGGCCACGCTACTAGGGTCTCCTGGCATCGCTACTAGGAACAATAAGCTACTAGGGGCTCCTGGCCTTACTACTAGAAGCAAGGACGCTACTAGGGGCTCTTTAGTAGGTGATCAGGAAGTCTACTTTCTTCAAACACGGTTCGTGGGACAAGTCAGGAGCGGCAGATGGACAACAAGCTAGTTTGGTTTGAAATTGTGGACATAGCAAGCATCCACAAAATGCTTGACTCGTCCACAGGCTGCTTGGAGCTTCTTCGACCTATTCTTACTCGGCTGCGCCCTGGTGGATGTGACTAAAGAAGCACCCTGGCTGATGTTGGAATTGCCTCGGATAGCTGCAAAGGCTGAGCACATTCCTGGCGGTTCTTATGCCCTTTTGACATTTCATGTTCTCAATTGTTCTTTTCATGTTCTGTTTCCATCTCTTCAGCCAGCCTTTTCTCATTCCCTCCGAATTGATCTAAATCTTATATCTCATATAATCTCTTTGGCCTCACACCGATCACGAACCCAGTTCAGATCTAGTGCACATTGATGTTCTGTAAAGGTTTTGATCAGCCTGGGGATTCCATCCTTCAACTCGTGTTGGGCCCTTGTTCTCGAGACCTCCTCATTCTGATCCACCGCTGATCCACTCTGATCGTCAAACATCATCCATACTGTCCATACTCCACATCATCATGTTCTTTTCTGTCTCGCCCGTTCTCATCCTCAGCCTCAATCCACCAGTATTCATGCCCTTCTAGCCGCTTTAGCCTTCTAGCCAGCGGCCCATGGGCTTCATTTTGATCTGTTTATGAATGGCCGATTGAACCAGCACATGTACACACCAGAACACCTCGTATGAAGCAGACAATTGCAAGGGAATTTCGTCATCAGGTTCTGACTCAAGAACACCAAGATTTGTCTGGCTCATCTCTGTTGCGTCTTTGTCGGCTCGTGCGCTTGGTGCGGATCGTGAAGGCACCGCCGACATATTTTGTCGCGAGAATCTTGGTATCTAGTAGCGTCCATGCTCATGGTAGCGATGCCAGGAGCCCCTAGTAGCTTCTTGGTATCCTCTTCGCTTAAAGAGCAACACATGCCTCAACTGAATCACAAACAACATGAATGCATTGGCATCAATGTGATTATATGTGTGGAGCAGAAATGCAATTCTTTGTGGAACAGGCCTTTCGGTTGAAGTTTATGGGTGAGCTTCGGCTCATGGATTCTTGGCTTGTTTCAGCTTTTTTCTTCTTGTGGGTAGCGCATAAGAGCAGGCGTAAGTAAGCTAATTACTAAGCTTAAGAAGCTACTGCCCAGGACATAGGACAGCTCAGGCTTCTTCAAGGAAGTTACCCCCGCCTGAAGGTGGGGTACAAACTCTTGCACTATTCATTTTGTTCGTAGACTTTTGGGAAAGCTGAACTAACGTTCTTGACTTTCTTCCTTTTTCGCTCTTTCTCTCTGAGCTTTAGACATTTTTGGACCGGAATCCTTCAAACTTTAAACATTTCTTATTGTTCTTTCTGGAGCTCCTCACACTCAGGTAAAGGGCTTGATTGCTGGCATTCGAACATTGACCCTAGCCTTCATTTTGCTGTTCACCGTACTTTATGAGCCCTGGCTGCCAATGCTGAATTGATTCGGACAGGGTTTGCGTCGATTTGGAATCGGAATCCACATGAAAGCTATCGGTAGATAGAGCAATGCAAACCCAAGGCGTTTGTGTGGTTAGGAGGCGAATCGGCTCGTTTTCCAACTCTCTTGGCAGTACCAGAGCCTTCCATACCAACTTGCCTCACAGAAACATGTCTTCTGAACACCGTTGAATCTGCGCAGCCACAACAAAAACTGCACCGTTCTTTTTTTGCAGTTTGTATTCGGTGGAAGAAAGCAGGAATTGTTTCAAGGTACATGAAGCTGCTTCAAACACGTTCAAACCAGATACTGGTGAACACATGAACACACATGGGAAAATTGACGGCAAAATCCTGCCCCTGAGAAAGGATGTTTAGCTGCCAGAACGATTCTATGAGGTCTGGAATGCATTAGGACTTGCGCTTGGAACAAGCACGCTGTCTTTTTGACAGCACGTGTAAAGAATGGATGTATTTAACTATGGTTCCTTTGGCTGTTACCATTTTTCCCGAAAGCATTGCGAAGGGTTCTTCCGGAAAATCCTTTGAACACTGACACTTCGACACTTACACTTACACACTGACACTTCCACCACACTTGCACTACAACATGAACGCTATACGTACCCCAGTGTAAGTGGAAGAGCGAAAGCATCCAAGTGCAAAGTATGCAAGTGTGAAAGTATGCAAGTGTAAGTATGTCAATGTATGTCAGTATGTACGTGTAATGATGCAAGTGCAATGATGAGTATGCAAGCATGCAATGAGTAGGCAAGCATGTAATGAGTATGCAAGCATGCAATGAGTAGGCAAAGCATGTAAAAGCATGTAATGAGTATGCAAGCATGCAATGAGTAGGCAAGTATGAGCATGGAAAACTAGCACGGGAGATGTCCTAATGAAAAAACATTTCCCCACTTTATAAATTCTCTCTTAAAGGCGGAGGGTGGGACGAACAGCGTCAACCGAAAGTGCAACCGTCTGCGGAGATCGTGCGTGTCGAGTGCGCGAAATGCAGGCGAGAGTGCGATTTGCAACCTGCGCGCGCAACCCTCTGCGGAGATCGTGCGCGTCGAGTGCGCGAAATGCAGGCGAGAGTGTGATTCGTCCGGTGCGCGCGCAACCCTCTGCGGAGATCGTGCGTGTCGAGTGCGCGAAATGCA